GAAGGTGGCCACCTCTACCCCTTGGGCTCGACGGTAGTTCTTCATCTGCGCGTGTGGCTGTCCACTTGGGGTTTGGGGGTTCTATACTGTCTAGATGTAAGAAAATGCAATGTTGAAGGCTGGGCAACAGTGTCACGGCCTGTAATCCTAGCTCTCTGGAGGCCGAGGCGCGGGAGGAGGGTGCTCAAGTATGGAGTTCGAAACAGCCTGAGCAAAGAGTGAGACCCGCCGCGTTCTCGTACTATAAATAGACAAGAATATTAATGGCGGTCAACTAACATAGTATGGGTAGGAAAATATATAGCCCCCGGGCCTATGGTGGGCGCCATGCCTGTTAGTCCAGGCTACTGGGGGAGGGCGCTGAGGGCAGGAAGTTGGCTTGAGCCCCAGAGTTTGGAGGTTGCGTGGTGAGCTAGGCCGACCACCGACGGGCACTCCTCTAGCCCTGGCCAAACATAAAAGGGAGACCGCTGTCTGTCCAAGAAAAAAGAAAAGAAAATGCAGGTCTGAGACGGTTATTGTCCTCTAGAGCCAGCAACAGTGAAATTCGAGTAAGCCAATCACTGTTCGTAATTAAATGAGCAGAAAGGGTTTAATAAAGGCAGACACTTCTATAAAAACATCCTAGAATAGGGACTTGCCATTCGCCGGGAATAGAATTTATGGTACCTAACGCCATTTGCGCAGTTTTTGCTTTGGAAAGTTCTCAATTCTCAGCAAACCATTAATCAAGTCATCCCACTTTCCAGGTTATTTCGTCCCATTTTCAGTGATTTCGAGCAGAATTCACTTTCGACTTGCGGTCATGAGTGCTAAGGGGCCCATACTGAAGAATTTGGAATGAAAATTGGTTAAATACCAAAATACCATTAAGGCACCAAAATTCTGAAATGCCAATGGAAGAGCTCCAAAGCAAATTTATCTCGGAATTGCGAGGACAAAAAGAATGGCCACTCAGTGATAAGTAGCAGAGGAATCATCCCTGCAGATTAAGCTGGGTCTAGTGGGGTTGACCGGGATGGGGGGTTCTGGGTTAGAGGTTTGCACGTTCACTGCAGCGACAATTGGGTGGTGACATGTTGCATTAGTCTGGAATCCAACCTCCATGAGCACAGAGTCCTTGTCCGTCTTGTCACTAACCACTGTGTCCTCCCCTAGACCAGAGCCTGGGACATACTGGAGCTCACGAAATGATAGTTGAATGATCAAAGTCAGTCTGCAAGGGGTGATTCCTGGGAGTGGACCTCTGAATTTTTAGGGTACTTATTCAGCTGCTTTGGAGCCACTCTTTGACAAAACCTTAAAGGATTGTCTCCCACCAGGAGGCCCGTATGAAGGTGGCCACTCACCCCCTTGGGCTGACTATCTTCTCATGCCCTCTTAGCTGTCACTTGGGTTGGGGTTACTATTATCTAGATGTAAGAAATGCAATTGAGGCTGGGCACAGTGGCTCACGCCTGTAATCCTAGCTCTCTGGGAGGCCGAGGCGGGAGGATGCTCAAGGTCAGGAGTCGAAACCAGCCTGAGCAAGAGTGAGACCGTTCTCTACTATAAATAGAAAGAATTAATGGCCAACTATAATATAGAAAATATTAGCGGGCTGGTGGCGCATGCTGTAGTCCCGCTACTGGGAGGCTGAGGCAGGAGGATTGGCTTGAGCCAGGAGTTTGAGGTTGCTGTGAGCTAGGCGACACCACCACGGCACTCACTGTAGCCTGGGCAACAAAGGGAGACTCTGTCTCAAAAAAAAAAAAATGCAATTGAACGTATTGTCCTCTAAGCCAGCAAACAGTTGAAAATTCAGTAAGGGCAATCACTGTTTATAAATGAGCCAGAAGTGTTTAAAATGCAGACATTTATAAAAAGTCCTAGGAATAGGGAATTCCCGGAATAATTTATTACCTACCCATTTCAATTTTCTTTGGAAGTTCTAATTCTCAGCAAACATTAATCAAGTCATCCCACTTTCAGGTTATTTCCCCCATTTTAGTGATTCAGCAGAAGTTCATTGACTTGGTCAATGCTAGGGCCATATGAAGAATATAAATCTAAATAATCCACCATTTCAGCCCGCTCCCCTTCCATTTGTTAGGTTGAAATTGAGGGAGGTTTGATGAGAATTCGACCTACTTCTTTGGTGACTGATTCTGTATTTGCTGCTCTTGTACCCCCCTGTTGATGATGAGCGAGGGAAAGGCAGATCTCAAGACAAATTTCTCAGGTCCAGGATCACTTGTTAGAAATCCAAATGATGGGCTGGGCATGGTGGCTCATGCCTGTAATCCTAGCACTCTGGGAGGCCAAGGCGATTGCTCAAGGTCAAGAGTTCGAAACCAGCCTGAGCTAGAAAGAAATTAATTGGCCAACTAATATATATAGAAAAAATTAGCTGGGCATGGTGGCGCATGGCTGTAGTCCAGCTACTCGGGGAGGCTGAGGGTAGGAGAGTTGCTTGAGCCCAGGAGTTTGAGGTTGCTGTGAGCGTAGTGACACCACAGCACTACTCTAGCCTGGGCAACAAAGCAGGACTTGTCTCAAAAAAAAAAATAAAAAAGAAATCCAAATGATGGGGCTCCACCCCAGGAAGATTAAGAACACTAAATCAGAGACTCTGAGGTGGGGCTCAGCAATCTGTGCTTTAAACAACCTCTAGGGTGATTCTGCTGCAACTTGAAATTACCTTTCTGCTTTAGGTACTAATGTCCTGGCCTCCTAGCTATCTATCATAAATGTGATAAAGCCTCTGTCCCTGGCCTCACATGGAGTCCGTGCTACTGTGCCATGTGCAAAGTGCTCTCACATCCATTCATTCTGGCAGATGGATGGGTAGCAGCCCTGTGAAGGAAGCCAGGGAGGGACCACAAACCCCCTTTACAGATGAGGCGACTGAGCAAGGAAAGGCTCAACAAAGGTCAAATAACTTCCCCGGGGTTACTCAGCTTTAAGTGGTAGAGCTGGGTTCGGATCCAAGCCTCTGTCTTTATGGCCATGACCAGGGCTGCTGCAGTTACCCTACAGCAGGGTTCTGACATTTGGGGCCAGACAATTCTCTGTTGTGGGGACTGTCCTGTAGATCGTAGGATGTTGAGCAAGACTACCGGCCTCTACCCACCGGATGCCATGAGTACCCCACCCTCGCTGTGACAACAAAAAATATCTCCAAATACTGCCAAATGTCCTCTCCCTGGGGGAAAAAAATCATCCTTGGTTGAGAACCACTGCCCTACAGCCATCGCGTAAGTGGGAGAAGTCTCACAATTCCTGTTCTGCAAATTTTGCACTTGTTGGAGTCCATTTCAGAACAAATAGCTTCTTTTTGGGCTCTAGACCACCTAGGAAGTGAAGGAACTAAACTGAATGTTGGTCTCCACAATACCTTCAGCATCCCTTAAGAAAATTAACAATTTTATAATATCGTCTAGTATCCAGTATATTCAAATTTTCCCAGTTGTTCCCAAGAATATCTTTCATAGCTGGGTTTTTTCCCCCCTAAGCTAAGATCCAATTTAGACTCTCAAATTGCATTTGGTTGCTGTGTCTATTTAATCTCTATTAGTGCAGAACAGGCAAACTACATCCCATGGGCCAAATCTGGTCTACCACCTGTTTTTCTAAATACGTTTTTGCTGAAAGACAGCCACGCTCTTTCATTTATACAATGTCTATGGCTGTTTTCATTCTGTAATGGTAGGGTTGAGTAGTTGCATCAGAGACTAGATGGCTCACAAAGCCTAAAATATTTAATGCCTGGCCCTTCACTGAAAACGTTTGCCAATCTGTGACCTAGAATTCCCCTCTCACCTTTCTTTTTAATATGATACTGACCGTTCAAAGAGTCCAAGACAATTGCTTATAGAAAAATCTCTTATTTTAGATTGGTCTCATTATATACATTTAAACTTTTAATTGAAATTTGATATACCAAATACATATATTTTAAAGTAGAAAGTATTTATGAAATTATCAATGTTCTTTAAGGTGCCATTAAACAACTTATCCTTCAAAAACTATAAATGAAATTGAAAGGCAAACAATGAATTGGAAAAAATAATTAGAATACTGAAGTCTTGTCTCTTTCCACACTTTATTTTTCAGGAAGGAGAGAAAAAGAATGTCATGTCTAACCTATGGTAGAGGGTTTTAGTTACAAATGGAGGTAAAATCCTGACTGATCAAGTTTCCATATCATTTAAATAGAAAAACTGGTAGGAAAACCAGGGGTTTTCCTTCTCTGGAAAATCACAATATATGATTTCAAATATGTGCACCAGAGTATACAGAAATTCAGATATAAACATAAGGGGATCAACTCTTTGGGTGCAGGGACCATGAACTTAGCATCATGCCTGGTATAATACAGAAAGTGCTAAATAAATGTCCATGGAATAAATGAATGAATAGACATCATTCCTTTACTCAGCTGGACAGAGAGAAGGTTGTCACCAAAATACTCACACTCATTTATTAGATTAGTATTTTTTCTGAGTATGACAAGCAAGCACATCTTCATGAAGGCTTGGGTCTGCTGTTGTTCTGTTAGTAGCTCATGCATGTTCATTGAAATAGGACTCAGTTACCTTGGAACAGGACCTTAAGGACGGGCTACATTGGTTTTATGCATGTATGGAACGCTAGAAAGTATTCAGCCTCTCTTCCCAGTTAACCTGGGTCAGATTCTAATGAACAGTAGCTTTTCCCCCTACTCTGGGACATGCTATGTCTATCCTACTAGCCACCTAAAGCAATATAAGTGAAACATAAAAAGTAACAAAAGGAAGCGCTTCTAAGTTGTTCTATCGGTTATACAACATGGCTAAGGCTGCCCTCGGTATCATTCCCTTGCATTTCTTTAAAATGTCATTTAACCTGCTGAAAAAGTCAACCTCCCTAAACCACAATATCTATTTTACAGTAACCTTTTGGGAAAAAAAAAAGTTAATAGTCATCCACTCCAGCACAGCTCACATACATGGTGCTGAAGAGCGAGCTTCAGAAGTAAAGCTGATATTTAAAGAATTCCAGGTTTGTTCTTGAGCAGTGGGTCCTTCTCCTGGTTTCCTGGGAAGAACACCACCTTTGCACGGTTGAGGAAGACATTCAGGCCTTTGCTTTTGACCACTTTTCCAGGACTACTTTCTATTGGCTTGTATTCCTTGTGTTTTCTGAAAACAATGTGTTGGATAGTTAGTTTAAAAAGATTTTCAGCTGAAATATATTACTTACTGTCATCTTTTTCATGCCAGGTGCAAAGGGGATAATTCCATTTAACCTAATCTGTGGCTAGTAAGACACTGGTATCTTATGAAAATATATTTCTTTTCTTCATGCAAGAAATGAGCCCGCTTACTATAATTTGCGATTATATGTTAAACATTAGGTTGACACACAATTTTGTCAAGTTGCTGACATCTGGTAGTATTTTTAGGATTAAAAATAAAAACCACAGCAAAATTAACAGGCCAGTTTGGTATTTGTCACTCAATGGAAGATTTTCCTTCTCTGCACAAAATGTTCAAAAGCAAAAAAAAAAAAAAAAAGGAAAAATGGCCCATGGGCACAGATATATATATTTACTTTCTACAGTATATGATAGCAATGTAAAGTGTTAGAACCAGAAACTTACTTGAACACCAAGAGGGCGATCGCAGTGACAAATAAGGCCAAGCAGCCAACGGAGATGAGGGCACCATTTGCCAGTCTTAGAGGGGAGGCTGGGTCTTAAAACAGAAGCAAGACCATATTAGTTACGTCTTCTGCCCGGAGGACACGCCGCTTGTAATGCCATTAAATAAATGAGGCAGGGGACTGTCACAGAAGATGTATGGCTCCCTCTGGGCTTTCAGTAATCTTTTCTATTAAATAATACATAGTCTTTGGGCCAGCTTATCTTCCACTTAGAGGATGAGTCAGCAGGTCTGGAACACTGTGTTAAGGGCTCGGGGAGAGATGTCACGTCCTGGAGACACCTGCTCAAGTCTCCGGTGACCCAGCAGCGCCACCGTGGGGAAGGGCCTGCGTGGTCCTCGGGCCAGGACTCCGCCTCACGTCTCACCGCCTGCCTTGCAGCCGTGCCTGCTGCAAAGCCCGGGGCACTGCTCGCAAGCCCAGTGTTTTCAAACCCTCAGCCCCCTGCGCGAGTGGCCCCTTCCCCGGCTCCTCTCGGGTCCGCCCCTGCGCTGCACCTGCCAGACAGACGTCCCCGAGGGGGACAGGTGGACCGAGTGGTCACACTCTGCTTGCTTCTCTTCCTGTGCCTCGGTCACACGGTGGTGCAATCATTTCTGCACACGTATTTCTCTCCCACTAGACTGTGAGAGCCATAAAGGCAGGGACGGTGTCTTCTCTCTACTCCCAGCAAATGCGCTGGTCCTGTCTCTGCCACCAAAGGGTACCCAGAGTCTGTCTGGTGTCCCTCCGTCTGTCTCCTTGCGCACAGACTGAAACCCGCGCCCTCGCTGTGGCCTGTGAGGATCCAAACTAACGAGTTGCTCATTCTGGTAATTCGGGTCCCAGCTCAGAGAAGGCCCTTCACCAAGTGGGTGCCACGGGCCGGCAGGACTTTTCCTGACCTCCCAATCAGAGAGCCAACCGCTGTCCCTGCCTCCTTCTTCCGTGCTCACCTCTCTCCATCCCCTCC